GATTATTGTTGTGTAGTATATGATAGTAGTTTCATAACACATTTAGAACTACTAACATCTGTTCATAAACTTGCTGCTCGTATGATACTGAATGATTATGTTTCTGATAGCACTATTCTCATTCGGAAATTGAAGTTACCGGACTTAGCTGCAAGAAGAAAACTTTTGAGACTAATCTTATTTTTGGATGTTACCGGACGAAGCGCACTATCACGCTTTTCTTAGTTAGTCAACTTACCACCAGAACATCTCAGCGAACTTCTAATCGATGTCTTTTGCAAGTTCCATTATTTAAACGTAAAACAACTAGCTCATGTTTCCTAAAAACTATAAAAGAATGGAATCCGTTATCCAGAAAGGTAATAGCTGCTTTTAGTTCTCAAGCTTTTAAATGTACATTGACGAAACACCTTCTCTCTTGAAAGCAGTATATATTAAGCCATATCGTTTCTTCTTGTTTAAACTTTTTCTTTTTTTTGTGTAGTGGGGTGATTTAGTCAAAGTTTTTTGTTAAACTTTTTATCACCACCTTGTGACTTTTTAAGATCATGGGCTAAATAAATTTGACTTTTGACATAACAGTACTGTGACAATGTGTTTATGCTGTGATATAGCATTGATTTCTGCCTCTGTATGGTGTTTGGCAACAGAGAAGAAGATTCGGCTTTTTCTCATCATTAGCCAGCGTGTAGTCCAAAAGTTACAGTTTTCTGCGGTAAAACTGCATCAAACATAATTTTATCTTTTTTGAGTGGCATCAGTTTTCTCGAGAAACAATGATTTATTAGGCTCGGCATGCATACAAAAAAGCTTTATTTTTCATTATTATGTTTAATAGAAAGAAATGCAACTTTGTGGAAATTATAAGAAACAAATTTCAGGTGTACACAAAATGTGAATTGATTGAATATCAGTTTAAGCGTACTGTTAATGATGGTGAAATTTAACAAATCGAAAAACAGAGGGCGAATCTAATAACTCCACCTAAGTTCATCGGCGGCGTCTTTCTTCTGACGTTGAATCGATAGTTAAAAATTTTGAAGATAGATCACGTCGTTTGCGGCCAACGAGATAAGAAGCACGTTTGTGTGTGTCTCTACCAACTAGGTAAGTTCCACGTTTTCCAACGAGGTATGAAGCACGTTTAGCTTCAAGATGATCATCATCGAGTAGGTCTGTTGAATAAACATTTTCACGATCTAAACATGGCAGGAATATATCAACATTGCCTCCATAACTTGATATTGTTTAATTAGGAGAGAAAAAAGTCTATATGATAAAGTTGAGTGAGACTTACCATGGTCATACGAGTCTTCATCTAAATATGATCGTTTTCCAACCCAATAACCATTTAAATGTTTTCGTTTTTGCAATAAATCTGTGAAAGCTTCTCGATCTTTATTTGCAATCACAATTCCACTACTTATAAATATTGTCAACATGAGCAAAATACACGTAAGAAAAACCTGCATTTCTGTTTTTGGCTTCTAAATTGGATAGATGTTGAGAAAATTTATAATACTAAAAATAAACATAAGAAACATCAACCAGATAGCAATCATGCAATATCTGAATTGCAAAAGTGATTATGTGAAACTAAGAAAAAAACTACTATCTGAATTATTAATAAATAAATTAATAAAATTAATTTAATTAATTTATAATACTAGAACTTCACATATTATTGTAGAAAACGCGACCATTTCACAAGAGTGGTACACCTTTGAATTCACAATTTTTAGCGAAACTTTTTAAAGAAAAGCTTAAATTTTGGCTATGCTAATGGAACAAATAAAGGAAGCGAATTTTCGCAAATTTTCACTGATATAATTAGAACACTTAATCTACTATATGAACTGTTATTTGGACTATTTGGACCACATTTGATCCAAAATTTATGTCCATAGAGTAAATAAACTAGAAAATACAGGCGCCGATGTAAGCAGTAAAGTTTTCTTCGAACAAATTTACATTCAGTGTGAAAGAATTCTAAAACGTGATTTTTTAGAAATGATGTTTTAAGCAAAATTGTAGGTTATCTGCTTGTCAGATAAAGAACTAATTTTGTTAGACTTTGATTTTGATAGAAATAAGTTAAAAATACTTTTTTTTACTTAGTTTCCTAAAAAACGTATTTTGTCTAGTGCACGATTGTCTTAGTAATTAATAAAACTAAATGAAGTGGATGAGAGAAGAACAGCGTTAAAAATATAATAAAAAAAAACTACAAGAAAGAGAAAGCGATAGCATACGAAATTCGCAGATGACTATTCATCATAGGATAAAATGTTATTATTAAAAAACATTAAAAATAACGTTTTATTCTATTTTTAGAATCTTATGACATGATGAACAAGATGTCAAATGTAATTTTAATTTGCATTACTTAGCCTCTTTTTTATTTTTTTTAAAAATGATTTATACCTCTACAAGATACGTTAACATTAAAATATATACTAAAAATTTGATAAATGAAATATGACAGTTAAAAAATTATATTTTAAAAGTTAAAATACAAAATAGTTTCCATCAAAAGCGTAGTGTTCTATACTTTCTTCGAGCTTCCTTTATTTCCGTATTACTTTCACAGAAAAATAGAATTTTGCCGTTGGTTTCTTAACAGATATTGTTTTTGTTTTATGACTGAATGTATTCTGTCTTACATATTATTAACCATATTTTAATGAAAATGTTGCTGCCTCTTAGGTTAAGAAAACTTTATTTTAACGAAAAATCAATCATTCGGAGGTAACTACAGCTAATGTAGTTAATAAATTCTTTTTATTCAATATCATGATCGCTATAACTTTTTTCAGACATCTATAAGTAATATATACATCATCTAAGACTTCCTCTTACATTCTCGATCTGCCACTCTCTTATACTAACTTGAAAATATCTCATGATGCTAGCACAATATTTGATCACTTTCTAAACAAAATGGATATACTAGTATGACATATAAATTGAAACTTATGCTATTAATGAAATATCAAAATGGACTTACACCATCTTTTTTAAAGAAAAAAGAAATATTAAAAAAGATTTGAAAATAACAGGTGTAGTATGGAGTACATGATATTGATTTTCTTTATTATTAGTTGTATTACCTTACAATTCTATTTTTTATTAAATATAAACTCTCTAGTCCTCGATTAAGAATGAACGATCAATTGTTGCGCGATTAATCGTTTCTTCATCGCCTTCACATTTTATTTTTTTCATTTTTTTTTCTTTTCTTTAAATGTATGGTTTATATCTTTTTACGCTTTATGTCAAAAAAGCACTACATAAAATGAATTAAAAAAGTTTCACAGTCGACTGGTAGACGGACAACGTAAAAACAAAGCACCAAGTTCAAATCCCCGCAACGACGGTCGCGTGATAGTCTTAGACAAACTGTTTCATGCTCATTATTTCGGTACCTTTGATATAAATGCAATGGGCACACCCAATTTCAGTAGATATTGGACTGGAGAGATGAAAATTAAAGTTTAAAAACAAAAACAAATTCACGAATTGAACTTTATACTAGAATTTATACTATCTACTAGTACACTCATCTACACGCAGACGATCGGACAAGCAAGAAAATAGTATAACCTATTAAATTTAGACTTGTATGAGAAATGTAACTTCTGAAAACTAGTATTCTCAAACGATACTTTTTCCTAAATTGAGACAATGTACTTCGTGAATAATACTGTAGCTACTACGTTAATTAGTTAATTAGTCAAATCTTCTGTGATTCAGATACTATTTATTAGGTAATAGTACAAGAATTAGTGATCTGATTGTATATTGAGTTCTTATTATATTATTAGGTACTGCATTCTTCTAACACTATTACTGTTTTTACATTTTTAAGCCTAGTGATGTTACTATGACAAGATTTCTTTTCGTCGACAGTAACTTATTTCATTCGTTCTTTAAAGTAATAGTATTTAATCAATTGAACACGTTTCGGATTTGGGATGTTAATTAAGTATTATTCAATCATCACAATAAGAGGAAAGAAAAAAGAATTCTAGCATTATGTTGTAAATGAAAAGGAATATGATTGATTTGATAAGACCTCGAAATCACTCATTTGAACACATTACATATATTTCTTAATACTTTGATTATATACATACGCACTCTCTTGTTCATTTATGCTATTAGAGAAGGTTAGAAGAAGTTTAGTCTTACATCGGAAATCATCATTTTGACAATAGGGCAATTAAAGCAACCTACGCAGTTATAGAAAAGTTGATCTTTCTCGAGAAAGTATTAGTGTTAAATTATATCAAATGAAAAATTAATAATATACTAAAGTTCGTAGAAAGTTACTATGATTCTTTTGAAACAGAATCCTTAAGAAAACAAAATTGTAAAGGATTTCAGCGTACTGACACCGTTATTCTAGTCGAAAATCAAATTACAGATCCCCACATTATCCGTAAGCTCTTTAGTATTTGAAAATATAGCTATACATATCAATAGAGTGAACTTTGTCATTTCTACGCAGTTTTAAATATCAGAGTTTACTGATTTAGCTTTCTGTTCCGAATTAAAAAAATCGAAAAGATTATTCTGGAACATATCGAGACGATAAAACACCGTTTCTTATTTGGACAAAAAGCCGTTTTTTCCATTTTGTAAAAATTTGCTCTTTTGAGAGAGAATCACGGTATAGAGCCGCATGAAAGTCCGGTTTTTAAAGAAAATCATAGAAATTGTTTTTATTTTTTTATTTAAAGAATTAGTACAAAAATAGACAATTAATGTGAAAGAAATGATTAATAATGCCGATCACAATGAGTATGTCTTTCGATCGAAAGAATCTTTTATTCTCGCTTTTTTCTCAATGTTAAAAAATATTTAAACAAACTTTCTGAATGTGTTTAACGTACGGAAAATCCTCGAACGGATTGGAAAGAATCTAATTCGATCATATATCTTAAAATATCCTTTAATAGTAAATGGTCAAATTATTTGTGTACAACATCTGTACCTTACTTACTATAAACTAATTTTTTTGATAATAAAACCTTAGAGTGTATATATTTAAATTAACTCTCTATCTATCAATCAGACATAAAAAATATATCGGGTAGAAATAGGATATTTTTGCCGTTAGTGTCGTTTTTCTTCTCTTTTAGTTCGTTAAACTTTTTTTTCTCTGTTGGAGAAAAATTGTGAACAAATAACTATTGGCTCATGATGCAATTAGAAACAGGAGAAAACTACAGTGAAATCAGAAAAAAAAATCTTATTTTAATTCCGATAGACTGCAACTAAAAATCTATTTTAGTTTAAATAAATATTTAAGATAATCATAATCTCTTACGTTTATAGTTAGCTATGAGATGTTGTAGTTGATTTATGATACAAAGAGCATGAGTTACCCTAATAAAAATCTCAGATACTTCTTAAAATTATCTTACTAAGATCGTGTTAGATCTTATATTTTAAGATTCAAATAAGATTTAATCTCTCTACTTTTACTCATCCGTTTATTTTGCACTCATACATCTATACAAGTAATACCAAAACTATAACCGAATTTTCTGAATGATCAAAAGTTGCAGTCGAACAGATCTAATAAGAAATGGAAAGAAATTTCAAATTTTTTTAGGCGTTCATTCTTGGACGTTGACTTGCAGTGCAAATCCTCTTAACAAGTTGTTGAGCATTTTCGAAGCAAGTATACGAGCCAAGTCGTAAAGAAAAAACAGACACTCTAACAGCAGATTCAAATCAGAACTTTGCAAAAGAAATTTATCGGCATTTGAATAAGGGCAATAGTAAAACATGAAGATGTCTGTGTTGTTATTTTTGGTTGTCTGTGGGTGCCTCTGAGCTGTCTGTGTAGCTGTTAGTGGCTATCTGTGGATGTCTTATGTGCTATCTGGGGGTGTCTTCATGTTTTACTATTATCATTTGAATAAGATTTTCAATATTCTTAGTAAATTCTGTATGAATCTTATCAAAAAATCTAATAATTCTTAGTAAGACCGTATTAAAATTTAAAAGTCTTTTTGATTAATTCTTAGAATTTTCAAGTCTCACAAATCTTAATAAGATTTTTCAAACGTATCAGCAAATTTCGGGTAAATTTCTCATTAGGGTACAATGTTCTAAGAAATAAGAACGACTACTACTGTGCAAAAACTATTAAGAGTATTTCTCTTCTTATTGCCGAGAATAAGGAAAATAAAATCGATTTTTTAATGATTAATTCATACATAAATAAACCTTCACTCTTACATTTTACTCATGGTATGTCTTTTGCGATGATTTGCTTTACGGTTTTCTAACGCAAGGATCATTATCATCTTCAATAAGGTAAAATGCATCTTGCTATCTTTTGAGCATCTTGAGAATGAAAAGGGACAGTGAGTTCGGATTTTTAGCATTTTGAGGTGAAAACTTTAATGCATTTTTACTCAAGACAATAGGTTCAACCGAGACCTTCATTTCTTACAGT